AAAACTGTGAAAGGTTTGAACTCAGGAATCATTTCAAAAGTAGGTTGAGTTTGATCGTCCGGGTGGTTTGTAGGTTCAGCAGTTACGCTGCAATCAGAAGAATATACTTTACTACACGTCAAGCACGGTTCTATAAACAAAAGTGATCATGTATTTGGTGGCAAATTTTTAGAAAGATTCTAAGATTTGCATCAAGGATGGAATTTCTTAGAATAGAAATTTCTTTCGATTGGTGATGTCATTAAAGGATATCGAACGAATGATATTGTCTGATTTAGCTTTCCCTCTATTAAGCCACAATCAGTTCTGGGTAAGAATATGCTTGTTTGAGTCAAGCTTTTGGCGGAGGAGGCAAAGTGGCACTGATCTCAAATTATATTTTTCTTTTGTGAAAAACTCACTTTGATAGTCCTTACCATTCCTTAGTAAAAAGGAAATAAACTTGAACCAAGGTAAATTTTGACCCAATGCATAACAAATATTGCATTCATTTTTTTTCTCATGGTGATGCAATGCTTTAGCTGGTATCTTGGCCTTAATAGTTCAAAATAGTGAATTAAAACCTCCATCCCCTCTTTTGGAGAGATTTGTCTTTCACTGAATGCAAAGTATGTGGACCTTTTCTTAGAGGTAGAGTGACTTGCAATTCCCAATTCCCTTTTCTTTTTGTTCTTAACTGATCAGGCCATTCAATATCTCTTAGCAATTGTTGTATAGCTTTTCATCTGCCTTTTTGTTCGCTATGTCTTTTTTTTGTCTTCTCTTCACTTGGGCTTGCTAGTCTAGGTTTTTAAATTTGACCTTTCTGGGGATGATTGCATTTTATTATTGTTGCCGCGTGGCCCTAGTATGCAAAATCTCAGTGAGGCCGCACAGCCAACGTTAATCTCTTACATTTTTTTAGTTTTCAATTTTAAACATTAATCTCTGTACCATCTCATCATATTGCCCATATTTTACTTTCCTAAAACTTAGGAAGGGGGGAGTGTCATTTTTTCTTTTGGTCAAGGAGGGGATGTCAAAAAATTATGTATGATGTCTGGGGGATATTGAAATGTTTTGCCCGTTTAAAAAATATCATCTTTCCCCACCCCCATCCCCCCTGCAGTAGACATAATGAATGTAGCCTAAGAACAGTGTCATTTTGTTTTCCGTTCTTAATCAAAGTGTACACTTTGTATGGTGAAAAAAAATAACCAATTCCTTGTTAACTTTTAGAACATCTTCAGTTCCATTGTCCTCGTGTGCAATGTCCACTCTTAATCTGGTAGTTGGCTTGAAACGGCGATCAGATATTTCTTGCATAAAAGTTGCAGCATGGAGGTTAGCATCACATCACATCACAGAAGCGTAAAATTCAACACTGGGAGGTAAGGAGCACAGTTTTTGTCGCATTGTGGGTGCTGCACTAGACTACGAGTAGTCCCCCATTTTTCCTCAGGGATAGTAGATCGAGCGAAACGCGAGGGCGCGTGAAAATCACCCCACGCGAGAAAAGGCGACACGCCTCTCTCCCCGCCGCGTGTCGCCTTTTCTCGCGTGGGGTGATTTTCACGCGCCCTCGCGTTTCGCTCGCTCTACTATCCCTGAGGAAAAATGGGGGAATACTCGGTAGTCTAGTGCTGCACAGGGTGTCCCAACATAACGTGACGAGGACTGTAGGCCGAAACAATTTCTTTCGTAAATTATCCCATTCAGATTTCATTAGCTGCCCCTGGGTCTGCGACAGTGGTAAATAAAGTGCTCACCAGCGACAATCTATGTAATTTACCGATTTGAGACAGTGACTCATGAGAATAAATACGTCTCGGGGTAAGCACTGCCTGAAAACAGGGAAGTTGGTGTAGTGCAGCCGTTTCGCCCGGAAGTTAAATCGTCCGGGCGTTAATTGGCCTATTTTTAATAGGATTTTCGGCAAGGACAGGACGATCTGAATGAAAGTTGACAAGTTTTTCCTGTTTTTTCACGTTAGGTTGGCGGACATGAACGCGAACCACCGCTCAGCCCTCAGTCAAGCGTTCTTTTTTGCAAGAGCTTGGTTTTTTCTGACCTTTCCTGCAAGCTTCAACATTGCCATTGTCGCTGACCTGAAGAAAGACATGGTCTTCAGCGAGAGATTGAAGGCAAGAAGACAAATGAGAATTTAAAACCTAATTTTACTGTAACATTTTAGTACATTTTTAAATCTCACTCACCCATGATTTTAGTAACTGACTGAAAAATGCCAAGTGTAATAAACGGTGAAAAGAAAGATTTTTGGGAGCGCTGTTTTCACATAGTTCCTTGTGTGTGACTAAGTGTGTGTTTTAACTCAGCAACCCCGAACTTGTTCATGAGGTCTTTATGCAGTCCTTCAAAACAATAGAACCGGTTTTGGCCCTTTTCACACGTCGAATCTTTTATGAGCCGAACGCGATAGGCCTCCCCTGGGTGTAATTATGCCAATGACCTTTATTTGTTCTAATGGCACGACGTAATTCTCGGTTTGCAACCAGTGACAAGGCGGCCATGTTGGTTAATTGGTGCAGTTCCTGCTTAGATCTTGCGTAGCCTCCCTCGATACTCGGCGAAACCTGCGTATTAATTAGCAATTATTGGATGAGGCTGAGGATGATCCGAAGAATTATGCAGATCGCGAAGGTTGGTGGAGGCAGACAACAACCTGCGAGACCAGCATAATTGTACAGATCATACAAAAGCTTAAGTTTAATCGTTTTATTTTTTTATTCAAAGTAATTCATGCTTTAATTCCCACTTTTGTTTGCCGCTTCATCTTGCAAATTCTGGGTATAAAGGATGTTTGGTCTAGCAGAATCAAGTATAGATTTAGCCAGGGCTAAAAGCGAAGCTCTCGATAATATTTATAGTTTGCTCAAACAAATTATAGAATTGTGTAATGCCAAGCGGCGAAGGCAACGAGAACGGTAAAAAATGACAATAGGTCTAAGTTTGCACGTGCAGCACACTTTTTTGTACATTTCTTTGCCGTTGTTTTGCACGACTACAACGTGAAACTTCCGAGGATGCCCACATACCAAGGCAGGACTCGACAATTTGTCGCTTTTCCGCCATTTCCACGTCCTGTAAGTCTGCAGGAAATGTCGTATGTGTTCTTGTTAACTTTGTTTTCTCACTGCCGCTCACTTTCACCTTGGTGGCCGCTAGTATTTCTCATTTTCTCACTGCCGTTACAAATTTTTCATGTTGTTCTTCCAACCAAAAATATCTCCTTTGTTTTTTTTTTNTTGTACTCGGTCACAACTTACATGAAGATATTTTTCCCAATTATCCAGTGTTTAAAAGAGGAGTTTTGCAGCTGTTACACAAAACCCCATCGATGTGTCCGCGCGCAAGCCAAAACACGAAACAATAATCACTCATGGACCACAAACCGCGCAAAATTGTGAATGATCTGCGACTTATTAGCCTTGAGACCAATCTCGCATATTACAAAGAAGACTTTGTCTTATCTGCACTCCACAAAGATAAAACAGATGACTAAGACGATGGTAATTTTTAAAAGAGGCGCCATTTTTCTTTGCTGCATTCGCTGCGATCCAATACCACCACAAACTTTCGTGCAGCGGCTTGCGCATACTCGCAACGTTACCACTTGCTGTTGGTTGCCATACCTGTTGATTGAGTTATTTTACATTAGTATGCCTGGTCGGGCGTACAGTCACGTGATTACCAAAATTTATCGGATGGTTAGATCACCACATTTTCTTAGGTATAGGGCTACGCTCGCGCGCTCGCGTGGAGCTTTGCTACAAACATCAAATAGGAGTTGCCATCCATGGAGTTGTATTTTTGTTCCGTTCTTTCCATGATTTCAGGCAGTAATTTGGCTATTTCTTCTTCGCAAAACGTGTGAAATTTTCCGGCATTTTTCTCCAGCTCTGTCAAAACAGCTGAGCTTACGAAACCTTGTCCCCAGGGCTTCTCGGTTGCCACCCACTTTTTCTGTTGATATCCTGTACTATTTACGTCATGTTACTGGATATCGCAATCGTCTTCCAAATTTGGTCAACGCTTGCTGGTTATTAAAGAATTAGCCGTGGGACTTGAGCCAATCAGAGGAGGTGATGCGAGCTCTTTTACCGGATCTCAGAGCAGTAAGCCACTCTCCACAGAACCCAAATCGAAGGTATACGCATTGTACAAAGCGTTTTAACATCTGAATTCGAAGCCATCATGGGAAGGTATCTAGGCCCCAGAAGAGCTAAACGAAGCCACATTTTTGTCCAAACAGTGTTGTCTAACTCAATTATTGCCGATCTAGTGATATGATCCTAGAAAGGCGTCAAATTGTTTTTTATACAATTCTACACGTTTTGCAGTTCTGGATGTTCCGCTTATTGTTGTCATTTCCGTGTCTTAAATACCCCCCAGTCTCATCTGACATTTGTGAACGACTACTAGATTGTTACATACCCATTGTGTTTCTGAATGTTTTGATTTTTAATGAACTATTCTGTTTTTCGTTTAGTTTTACGTATTTTTTTCACTTTTATTATCAAATGCACTCGAACGATAAGTATTAAATTTTGTACAATTATATCTCCACTTGTTTTAAATGGTTATTATTTTCCTGTGGCTCACCCAGGTAATTTAAAACCGCAGTATTTCCAATTCACAATTTTTTATGTTATATTTACATTATTCCCAGTGTGAAATGGTGAACAAATTGAAAACGATGCAAACTGTTTGAAATGCAGGTGCCTGTATTAATGATCACCAATTTCCCTTCTTTTCCATATTTTAAAAGTTTCTCAACGTCATTGTTGCATTTTGACTAATCTGAGATATCGTTTCTTTTTTTTTTCCGCTGCTTAATCTCCTGGAAATCGTTTATGACGGTTGTAATCTCCCTGCCACTATACAAACTATATTTATTATGTATAGAATAAACGAAAAATTTTAAACGTCTCGAATTTCAGATTGTGGAGACGTCGTTTCTATTGCCTTCCGTTTTTAACAACTAGACAATTAAAAAAAAGTTATTCAAAATTTGACGGCTGAAAAGTTGATGCTCTTTTCATCGTGCGGTCACTCAAAGGGTGAATAAATTCATTTTCTTCTTCGGGGACAAAACAATCATCTGGTTCCACTTTCACATCGATAGTAGACGTTTCGTCTTGTTTACCCAAATCCATTCTTTGCAAAAAACGCTCGACTTTACAAGCCACTTCCTCGAGCTCGCCTTCGTTAATGACCGCGCTTCCCCTTCTTGGTGAACCTCGCGGGCTTGATGAATTTGGAGTGAGACAACCACGGGGCGATTTACTTTCATTACAGCTACCTCTCCGAGCACTAGAACTCTCTCTTGTTAGATCAGCAGCAACAAGCGATCCGCCAGCACTGATAGGTGGTAACGACTGTCTTCGAGGTTGACTCAATGGTGGCAGTAAAAACTGCGAAGTTGGGCTTAAAGGACGAGTCGGACTAAGTGCTGCACGCTCCCTTAGTAATCCTACATCCGTATTTCCTTCAGAAGAAATTCTTCGCCTGTTGGCGGCAGGGGATAGTTTATCGTTGTCCGATAAATTGCGGGAAGAAGTCGAAGTAGACAATAAAACTTGCGGCGTGCTATATCTTCGTGGCAAGCGAGGGCTTAGTCTCCTTGTACCTTCACCCAATGAATCTGGGGCAGACAACCGAGTTTTCATACTATTTTCAACGTCAGCCAGTTCTTTTTGAAGCTTCTTTTTCTCGCGATCTATTTCCTTCCCAATTGAATCTCTGTGAAAGTTTATTGAGTCCAGCTGTATCTTAAGTTTCCTATCCGCCATTGAATTCATGAACATTGTCTTATCTGCGTATTCAGTTCTTTGGTACGCCATGTTTCTTTGCTGTTATTTTCTAACAGTGAAAGTCCTTCATCCACGCTATAATTTCCTTGTCGCTAAGCGTTGCTTTTTTCTTGGTTGCTGACTGCAGGCGATGATGTGCAGGGATGACAATTATGCAAATGGCTTCACTATATGCAGGAAGATTTTCTTTTTGAAGTGTGCACCTGCCGCAAAATAAATTACCTTCAAGATAAGACGTGTCATTTAATAGAAACAATTAACAACTCCCCTTGTACAGACTTAGAGCGAATATGAATGGAGGGCATTACCAATATCTTTTCTTTTGGAAGTCAAAGAGTTGAAGTTTAACTGCGCGAAAAAATACACAAAATAATTCGCAGCCTGAAAATTCACTTTAGCAACCGGGTAATTGAAGGAATATTTAAACAGGAAGGTTTCGACGTTCGAGTTGTAAACATGAACCCAAAAATATGACGGACTGCTTCCATTTTAATCACACGGTAAATACGAAGGCACAGTTTCTCGGAAGCATTTTGGTCGATTTGGCAAGAAAGCCATTAATGCGACGTAATTAAATGTCGCCCTTTCGACGAGCCAGTCGAGAGGGACAAGCCTTGGTATCTTGAAATGTTCGCTTATCAGGCAAAAGAGATCTTAAAAGTGCCCGGCAATTTTAATTTACTGGCCGACCAATAAACAATTTTATCTAATCAAACACATACAAAATGGGAGAACGTCTGTTAGTGCAGTAAATTAGGTGTTGAAATGAAGGAATTATACAATTAAGCTTCAACAAAATACGTAGTAACTATTGTTATGTATTCGTCACCAGTAATTTCAAAAGAAATGAGCCCTAGATTTTGATGTTAAGAACTCACGAAAAATTAATTATCTCACATGATGCCTGTCTTTATTAATTTTTGTCATTATTATTATTTTTTAAATTTTATTTCGATACATGACTTAATTTCCCCCTCAATATCCCCTCCTCTTCTTCATAGTTTAAGTGCCATCGGAGCACGAAAGCCCTGGTAATCCTTAACTGGTGTAAGTCACTTTATCAACTCAAAGCGTTCTCAATCAGGAAATGATCCTTTCACGTTCTGTCACCTTTAGTGGACGCGGTTTAGAGAACTCCGCTTCTTATTGGTGTAAAGAACGACGGAAATGTTTGATTGCTCGAGAACTATTTGACGTTCTCGATATTGCCGCCGTGGTCGTTGCTAAAGCTCCCTGGAGACCCCTGTGCGAAGGTTGATGTCCTCCAGTCCTAAAGCCCACGTGGCTCTCAAATTATTTTCCAGGGTCTCTCTTCACTGCTGTCCTTAACAAGTTTTTGGCGAGGTTGCTTTGCTCTTACCCGGCGCGCGAGTTATTGTGGGAAAGATACATGGTCATGTCACCATCGACCCAGGTTCCTTTGAAGTCCAGTACAGTTGCAGCCGACTTGCGGTATTTTGAATCTGCGCTAACTCGGATCAAAATGATTTCCAGCTCTGGATTGTCACATATTCAACTCGAACTCTCAATAACTCAAAACTTCACGCTAACTCGAACCAAAATCGATTTTCCCTGGATTTCTGTCATACATATCCGCTCTACACTGCGTGCATCCTGGATATACTGGAAAACCGTGACCCACACAATTCGGTACAGAAGACGGAATATCTTCACTGCTGCCGAGCGACGTTGATAAACCAGATAAGTTCACTCACGGACCATTGCCTCCGGTCTACAAAAAAGCAGAGGAAACAAGCACGAAGAACCATCCTGACGTCCCTGTCTAAAGTCTACGAGAGGTTGATGTATGATCAGATCGTC